CTCGGTTTCCTTCTGTTTATGTGTTCTGTTTTCTAGCCTTTCACCGTTTCTTAAATTCCCGGAGAACCGTAACTCCGATGGGGCTGAAATTTTGAGGGAATTTTATGCCAGATATTATCTTTCTTGTGGAAAAAGAAGGGCACCAACCACCTTACAGGAGCCCCACAAGCTTGCCAGCCACGCCCTGGGTAGGGGGCGTGCCTCTTGAGCTTGTGGGATCCTCGGGCATCGTCTCACATTGATATCGCTTCCCAAAAATCGCATATATTCCAAAATAATTCTCTGTGAATTTTTATCGCGTTTGGACTTCGTTTGATATGGGTATTCCATGAAACAAAAAACATGCAACAAACAGGAATGGCACTGGGCACTGGATCAATATGTTAGTCCAATAAATCATATAAATTGTTGCCAAAAGTATGTGAAAGTTGTGGAATATTGGCATGAAACAATCAAAAATTATAGATACGACGGAGATGTATCATGGGCATGCGTTAACTTCTAATTACATGGAATCAAATGATTTAAATATCGTTGGGACCTAGATGTAGACGAGTGGTACGGGTCTGTTAAATCTAGCTCTTCAAGTTGGAGTTTTCAAAAACTTTGGGAACGATGTAAAATAAGGAAAAGTTGTCATTGAGGAGGCCTGTTAGGAATAGAGATAGGAAGGTTATGTTTGGTATGTTGTGATTTAATTCGCCGGTTGTGGATAAAGTTACGATCGTTTAAACCTTCCTTGTAACCGAAGTTGTGCAAACCATAGGCCGATTGCTCGTTGTTAATATATATACATGCCGCATCCTATGGATTGTAGACACTCCACCAATTATTAGAAGAAGTTCAAGAGAATCATATCATTGCACATGTGTGAATTATTCAAGAGAAAATGTATTATGTAATAAGCACTTATGTGTTGTTCATTCAACACTGCATTATGAGCACAAGAAGGTTAACAACATGGTGATTGGAATTTGTCCTCAAGATGAGAGAAGGAAAAAAAATCAAACTCAATGGGACATGTCCTTACACATGGCTTCAACCTATGTCCTAGACTCGCACGGGTTGTGGAGTCTGACCTCGAGGAAATAAAGTATAATAGAAGATATAACCCTAACAAATGAGAAAGACGTCATATTTACGGCATGAGGAATCTAGAAAATTCAACGCCAACACATTGTAGAGAATGCTTTCACCAAAC